AGTAAATTATAAATAAATTTTGATGAAACATATATAAAATCTTTAAAATTGTTTATGAATATAATATATTATGTATGTATAATAATAAAATTTATGTATATAACTTGTTGGTTCGGTTCGGTTATTTCTTCGATTTTTTTCGAACAAAACCATAACTAAACCAAATACTATCGGTTCTTAACAATCTAAAACCAAACCAAACCAAAACCCAAATTAAATCGGCTCATTTAATCGGTTTGGTTTGGTTTTTCGGTTTGGATCGGTTTTTATCCAAACCATGAACACCCCTACATCTAACTAATCTAAATAATGAAACTCGAAATATAGTGTTTGAATCAAAACTCCACCTCTGGGTTGGATGCTTCCCTAAAGATTTTTCATATAGTTTTCCATCAATTATTTTTTTTGGATTGGATCAATGTCATCTAACATTATGAACCTTCATCATGAAATTGACAGATTTTACGTTAGTTGTTAGCGACCTTTCTTCTTTAGAACTTAATGTAGATAATGTGAGCGAGCTCACACATACCAAAAGTTATTATTATTGTTTGGACCAATGCCTTATTGTGAAAAAGATTCTTCATTATAGTTGTCCTGTTGAGCAATATTTGTTGTGAAAATTGTGTAAAGAAAGAATGCTCATACTAGCTATAACATACTGTATCTGTATGTGTCATACTTCTATAAATCACATATTGACAATTCAAAAATGGTTATAAGACATGATAAAAAGATATTCATTTTATTTTCGAAATTCAAAAGATATCACGTAAATTGAATCGAACAGAGTCATATAATTCAATTATGAATGGCAGGAAAATGGTTTGTACATTATTTCAGTTGCAGAGTGTTACATAATTTTGTAAAGTGAAAAAGGGGGTTATGGGGTGTAGTGAAACTGAATCACAAGTCGATAATTCACATCAAATTGCCATACAAGAGAAATATATATATATATATAGATGAGCAGATGAATGACATGTAAGCCAAATCAATCATTCCTTCACGTATAGTTTCATTTTCGAAGTGATAGATCCTTGAGCCACCCCCCACTGCAAGCAACCCCCCACCCCCACCCCCACAATTCATGATGAGT